CTTACTTATGATGGCATTAAAATTTTTAGGAATAAATTTGATCAGAGATAGAAGACTTGTACATTAAAACTTCAAAAACAGGGCTGAGGATTTAGCTCAGCAAGCATAAGCACCTGTCCAGCAAGGGCGAGATCATGAGTTTGATCCCTGGTACCAAAAAAAAAATTTTTTTTTCAAAAACATTGATAAAAGAAATGAAAGCTACAAATAAAGGGGCAGGTATAATATGTGATGGATCAGAAGAGTTAATATTATTTAAATGTATCAAATCAATTTGTAGATTGAATACCGTCTCTACCAAAATCTCAATAGCATTATTGGTGGAAATGGAAGACAATTTTAAAATCCATGTGGAATCACAAAATACCCTTAATAACCAAATTATGAGAAATAAAGTTGGAAGCATCACATTTTCTGATTTAAACATATAACAAAACTACAGTGATCAAAATAGTATCTTATTGGTATAAAACACAGACATCTAGACCAGTGAAACAGAACAGGGAGCCAAAAATAAGTCCAAATGTATGTGGTCAACTAATTTTCAACAGTGACAACATGAAGACATCATGGAGAAAGGGCAGTGTTCAATAAATGGTGCTGGAAATGCTACAACAAATGATACTCAGAGTTTGGAGGCAGATTTATTTATGTTGATGGGCAGTGATCAGGATCTTTCCCAAAATATAAGCCTCCTCTCTGATGGTCTAGAACTTATATGGCATAAACAAGCAGAAAGTACAGAGGCGGAATGGATGGTCTACTGGGGATTGGTTCTTACAGTATGCATCATAATGACCAGTTTTGCCTCACAGTATCCAGCTATTTCTAAGAAATAAAAGTAACAGGAACTGTAACTAGAACTATTACTGGGCAACCAACAAATTGAAGTACACTGGCAGGGGGTGGGGTGGTGATCTTCAGAGATAGGAAACCTAGATATCCACATGTGAAAGAATGAAATTGGACCCTTATTTTACACTACGTACAAAAATCAGCCTAACATGGATGCATGACCTAAATATAGTATCATAAAATGTAAAATTCTTAAAAGAGAACATAAAGACCTCTTGGTCCTTGGCCATGGCATAATGTTTGGGAAATCACACCAGAAGTTAAGGCCACAAAAGCAAAAGTAAATAAATAGGCTAACATCAAACTAAAAAAAGCTTCTGCACAACAAAGGAAGCAATCAAAATGAAATGGCAGCCTGTAAATTGGAAACAGTATTTGCAAACTATATTTCTGATAGAGATTAATAATCAGAATTTATGAAGAACTCATACAATTCAAATAGTGAAGAAACAGTCCGATTTTAAAATGGGTTAGATATCCAAAAAGACATTTCTTTTAAGAAAACAGAAAAATCACTTACAGGTATATGAAAAGGTGCTCAACCTCACTGATCATCAGGGAAATAAAATAAAAATCACTATATCACTTCACACCTGTTAGGATGGCTATTACCAAAACATGAGAGGGTAACCAATGTAGGAAATGATGTCAATAAAAGAGAATTGTTATATATATTGTTGGTGAAAATAGATCCTGGCATCAGCCATTGTGGAAAACAATATAGAAATTTCCAAAGAGACTGAACACAGAGCTACTATATGACTCAGCAATCCCTCTTCTGGTCATATAACCAAAGGACATGAAATCACATAATGACATCTGCATTTCCATGTTCATTATGACATAATTCACAACTGGTATCATGTACCCCAAATCTATGACCTTAGCCTAGTCATAAGAAAACATCAGACAATTTTAAAGAAAGAAGTTTAAAAACATTTAACCATTCCTATCCTAAAGTGTCTAGGTAATGAAAGACAAAGAGATAAACTGTCGGGGACAGATGGCTGACTAATGGAGGAATGTCAGCTAAAGAGTTAGTATACTGAGCTGGATCCTGAAACAAAAACATGAAGTGGAGATACTGGAAAAATCTAAATAGTCCATAGTTCAATCAATAGTATTTGTGGAAGTAATCTTAAATATTGAATTTGATCATTGTGCCTTGACTTGTGAGATGCTTACATCAGGGGACGCTGGATAAAGTCATCTAGGAACTACCTGCACTGTCTTTGCAACTCTTTGTAAGTCAAAAATTAATCAAAAGTTTAAATAACTTTATTTTATGAAAAAGCAAAGCAAAATTTCATCATAGTAGTTAATGTATTGTGTATCATTATCTTCAAAGTAGTCAGAGTACAAGACGGATCAAAAAGATATCTTCAAAGAAGAAACATAACAGAAAACTTTAGTTTCAACACACAAGATAAACCAATGGCATAAATAACATAAATTAACATACGTAGTAAAATAAAAGTCTTTTAAAAACCCTGCTGAATAGAAGAGTGATACTCTCTACCAAAGACAAAAAGGTCTCAATCTGTGGAGAATGAAGCCAAAAATAAAAACAACTCAGCTTGGTACATTTGCACCAAGCTATCTGAAGCAGGCTCTAGAGTGGTCAAGGGGGAATCAAGCCCCAGTCCAACCTTTTTCTCCTCCTAATCCCCACATCATAGGTGAGGCTTATCTTGGGGAGGAGGGTTGGCTGGAACATTTAAGATGTCAGAGGTGAGATGAAACAAATTGTGTCTCCATGGACAAAATTCCTTCTAAAAATCTGGAAAGGATTTACAGCCTGGGGAACATAAAGTGTTATGTTTGCATAATATTGACTTTTAATTCTTCACATAAACTTTGTTGAGATAGCATGGAGAAATAGATGTACTTGAAGCACTAGGATGGAATTTGAGTTGTACTAAAATGCTAAAAAACTAAAATGCAAAGTTAAAAACATTGACTGGAGCACGGACCACGCAGTTAAAGATTAACTGACGCATCATTATACTGTTCTGCATGAGTCGTCACCCTAGAAACCTGTTTGCTGTGTCAACCTTTGTTCATTTTATGAGAAACAAATGTTCCTGGAATTAGCAGACCAAGGGCAGTAAATTAAGGAAAGAAAGAGGTAACCACCAACTGCGAAATGTCTCTGACCCCAAGCAAAAAGGAACAAAGGCCTTCCGCATTCTTGCTAACTTCGTATCACTCCTTACTTTGGGGCTTAATCACTATAAAAATCTGTCAAAATTCTAACCCAGTTACACAGCTTTGCAAACTCCATCTGCACTGTGTCGCTGGTGCCAGCTTAAATAAAAGTGCTCTTTTTCTTTTTAAAATAAGACGTCTTTTTCTTGAATAACATCTTGGGGCCTTGTTTGGGGGGGGACAACAATTTGCCAGTCATGTTACAGACAAGTTTGTTTATAACTAAGACAAACAGGACCAATACAGTAAACTGAGTGGTTTGCACATGAAATGCTATTTCTGGAGTTATGGCTATGACTCACTTGAGGAATGTACCTTAATCGCAGGTCAACTGACTTCACCAACAGATTTCATGCACTTACAAAAAAATGGTCCATAGTAGTTACAGCTCCCCTCTAAGCTGTGGGAGATTTCTTCCAAGATCTCAATAGATGTATGAAAATTCAGGTAGCACAGAACTCTAAATATATTGTGTTCTCCTATACATGCATACTTGTGGTAAAGTTTAATTTGTAAAGTGAGAGTTTAACAGTTAATAATAAACGTAAGCTATGTGAATATAGGGACCATCAATTTCTGGTTGGTACAGACCTCTATCTAAAAGAGTATCCAGTATCCAAAAGAGGCAGACTGTTGAAATATAATTTTTTAAAACTTATAAACAACAATTAAATGAGCATTTTTGAGTATACAAGTTTGTACATTTAGTCATTTATATTCTTGGGGTAAATTTCTAAAACTGGTCTTGCCAAGAAAAACAGCATAGCTAGCACAACATATGCTCCTCCATAAGCCAAGGAATGGGGCCTGGAAACTTAGAATTTTAATGCATATTTCCAAATTCCCTTCCAAATCCCTCTCAGAATTTAGTCTCATCAGCAGTGGATAAAGTATACATTTCTCCATGTCCTTGAAAACTAAATATTGTTATCTTTTAAAAAAAAACTTTCCCAAAAATTATGGTCATCATGTTTATAAATAGAAAAATATTAAATATATTATAGATTTTGCTAGTCTAAAAACTAGAGAGCTATTAACTAGAAGGAAAATAAAAATGCCAACCAAATTATAGTTAGATATTGCCTTTGCTAAACAGCAATTCATTAGCCGAATGAGTCTTCATTTTCAAGTAAAATAGCGCCCAATTTTTTTGGTTGACTTTTCAGTATACCTAAGAGAAAGATAATTTAAGTAGAAATAAAATTATGTAGAAAAATATATACAATAAGCGTGTGCTTGATGACAAGCTAATTTAGAGATCCATCTACTGGCACAGGACATGCTCAGATTAGATACAAGCCAGAATCTGGAGGATGAACCCTATGGCTCGGATGCAAACAACCAAGAGTTCTGGGACAACACCCTGCCCCCACACTGGAGCAACGCTGGGAACCCAGTCCTAGGGGTCGGGTCCCTGCCTCCTGCGGACATGGGACACCCCAGACTCTTCCTCAGTTCTGTCCCGCAGTGTGGAGGACCAAAGCGGCCTCCCCAATGCACACACGGCTGGAGAAGGAGGCCGATTTCCCACGCCAGGGAAGCAGCCACCGCGGGGCAGCCGCGGGGCGGCCTCGGGCGCTGCAAGCTCGCAGGGATCGGGGGACAGGAAGGGGCGCAGCAGGCGGGGCGCTGGGGCCTGGCCTGGGAGTCCCCGCGCGCCTCGGACTTGGGGTTCGCTCCCGCTGGGCGTGGGCCCCCCCTACTCCCCCACCCTGGCCCTTTCCCTGAATACCCGCCCCGCCCCGCCCCGCCCTCCCGATTGCTTTACCCTGGCTCCCCAAAGTTCTTCCCCACTGGGACCCCAGGGTGGCACCAGCTGGAACCGACAAGCGGGTGCGCCAAAGTGGAGCATTTGAACTTTTAAAAAACTAATAAAGCCAAGTTGCGGAGATAGACTGCAGCATGTGCATGTGTTTGCACAGGAACACAGGACTTACACGTAGTGGGACGAGAAGGAGCGGGAGGGGCCTCCCGGCGCCTCGCACCCGCCTGCGGAGAGCCGCCAGGGACCCGCCCCGCGCGCCGAAACGCGCTCCACCCGCGCGCTCCGGGTCTGCGGGGAGGCGCCCCCCAGCGGCGGCGGGCGGCACTGGCGGACCCCGCGCTGCTCCGCGCCCACTCGAGACTGCATCTGGCCAGAGCGTGGGGGGCCGGGACAGGGGACAGGGCATCAAAACGCCATCAGCAGAGCCGCCCTGTGTGGACGAAAGACCCAAAGGGCTCCAGAAGTTCTTTTATTCGATTGACTCCTAAGTGCTGCTAGGGGGGGTCATCTTAACACTAGCAAAAGTAGTGCTTTGTATTTACAGTGTCACTTAGCCACGAGATGAGCTAATCATTAAGGATTTAATGCCCTCTAATTTTACTTTTGTTTTACTAGAAAGCCCTCTGACTGTAATTATGCTAGGAAGACAGGGAATCATACCGTAATTGGTTTTAAAGGCAACTCGCCTAAAAACAGCAAAATCTATGAAAGCCACTGATGTTTGTATAAATCTGTTCAATTTTTTAAAAAAGCATGTGACAATTTGTACATTTGGAAGAAAATATAAATGTAGAAGGAGGTTGCCTATCTGTATTTTCTTACAGAGATGAGTAGCAAACTTAAAGGTTTGGGAAGAATTATGCTATCGTTTGAAAGACACATGGATGCTAAACACCTTAACAACAGAGAAACACAAGCTGTCGTTTAGATGGTAAATGATACATCCCATATACTGAATATTCCGTTTTTAAAGAAAGTCTACTGTTTTATTTTCAATAAAAAATTAAAGAATCAGAGATGTGCTGTTTTATGTGGTTTCAGATCATTTGTTGAAACAGTATATTGTATGAGGCAAGATTAATTCAAGAAGCTTTTCACCTGTTTTTTAATTAATAAAAATACAAATTTTCATTCTCATGATAACAGAAATATACTCTTTAGAACATACAATGTTAAATGTATAAGATACATAGCTCTTAAAGTGGTTTATAGTTTACCAACATTCAACAAGAAATTAGATTATTAGTGTGGAAATTGTGGTTAAGCAAATAATAGCTAGTTTGCAAACATCCTGAGCCTTACAGATGTTTAATGGTAGTGATTTCTCTTGCAACACTGTGGTGTTTTTAGTTGGTTTCCATTTTCAAATCCTACAAGCCAGTACCCATATGTACATGTATATTATCAGCACCTAGTATACATATTATGATCAGCACCTTTAATGTAAAGTTAATCCATGCTACTGTTTTCCCAAAGCAACTTCAGAGAAATCTCATTACACCTAAAAAATATGACACCAGTAATATACTTAAGATACTCTCTACAAAGTTAATATTTTTTATTAAATTGAAAGAATATGACTATCAGCTTCTTTTCATGGAACAGTGTTGCAGTATAATGTATTGTTTTAGAAATAACTATCTGAGGACCAATTTCTTCAACCACAATAAGGGCCAAATTCAATTATCTAAATTTCTCTCCAGCTCTAAAATTTTATCATTTTAAATATTGTATGTTTTATATGGTGCAACAGTCACATCTTCTTAAACTCATAAATATTGAAAGGAATCAATGAGTAAAGATACTGCACCAGATGACATTTTCTTTATCAGGCACTCATTTTAAAAGATATACTTAGCAATTTCACAGCTCCTTAAGTTTTGTAAAGTTTTAGTAATTACCAGTGCCTAGGAAAAGCACAAATCTGCCTGTATAAATACCCATTTTAAAGACTCAAATAGTTATTACCTTTTCATAAAGAAACTTGCCTCAAGTAGTAAATCTATGAAAACTGCCATTGCTTGCATAAATCAATTTCACTTTTCCTTAACTAATTAAGATTTTAAACTGGATAATGAGTACAAGGAGGCCCTTTACTTAATTTCTTAAGATTTAAGATGTTCTGAATCTGTTATGAATAATTATAACAAATGTAAGATCTATCCAGTTCTAACCATTATACTGATTTTTCTTTTTCAAAATTAGTTCTAATCAATCAAGTCACCCCATATATACTGTGACAGGCTTTTTTTTTAAACACTGTTCCCTGTCTTGGTGAAGGGCATCCTCTCTATTTGCTTATACAAGACAGAGACCTGAGAACTTTTCTGACCTCTTTCCCACCCAGCACCATTCAATTCCATTCCTTTGGCCACTATAAGAATGATCTGTGAAAAATGCAAAATTGTACATATTTCAATCCCTTGCTAAAAATATTTACATGGCTCCCTATGAGCCTGGGCATAGTCCTATTCCCTGTTCCCCAATTTAGATTTTAAAGGTTTTTTTGGTCTGCCTCCTCCACCCCCTCCACTAACTTCAGTCTTGCCTCCTTTTATCCTCCTGCACCTCCAGCCAAGCCTCCCTCCCAGTGGCACTCATTGTTAAATCACTTTGATTTCCCCAAGGGATAGGAATGTGTCTTTGATCATTTAGCCGAAAACATTCTTCAGTCCTTTCTCTAGCCAGCTCCTGCTATTCCACTGAGTCCTGATTAGATGATTTCCTGAAGCTGGCTTCTAATAGCCTCCTCCTATGGGTTCTCTAATTTCAACTCTTACCTTCCATAGGCCCTGGCACACACTGTCGTAATTACCTATTCCCCTTTATTTCACCACTAGATTAAGCAGCTGACCTATGTCCAAGAGGAGCTGCAAATGAAAAGAATCTGGCCTTTCGACTCAGAGATGCTTGGGTTCCAAACTCAGTTTCTGCATTTATAGTGCTTTTCAGCATCTTTCCCAGCTTCTTTGTATCTCAGCTTCTATCCTGTAAAGAAAGATCGTAATTTAATGAGAAAATATGTATCGAGCATTTTTTCATATGGCTAGGGATGGTGATTGAGTTTAACTGTCAAGTTGACTCACTCAGGAGCCACCTAGGGGTTTAGTAAAGCACACTTGTAAGTGTGTTTGGGTGGGTCATGGAGGTGTGATCTTGAGGTCTATGCCTGGCTCCTTGCTCTCTGGTGCTGTTCCCCTGATCTCCTTCCTGGCTGTTAGGAACTGAGTTCCAGAAGTCTCTGGAATTTGCAGCTCCAGATAACCCAGAATCTAAGGATGAAGCAGAGCAGTTGAAGGGTTGGATGATGTTTAAGAAGGAGTTAAATCCAGTGTCTCTCCACCACCCCAGTCAAACATTGGAGGCTTAGTCCCAGAAAAAAGTTTCTGGACTGGAGGGTATTAGCCGCAGTTGAGGATTGTACTGAACCCAGAGAAATTAACAGAGCATTACATACTGAAAGTCAAGAACACACCCCATCATTACCCAATTTCTTATCTTGTGCTCCAAAATGAAGGATCCAGGGGTACAGCTTTCAAGCAAGAAATTGGAAAATAATTCTCTAGGGAACAGAAGTAGCCCTATAATAGTTGTAAAGATTTGCAAAATGTTCCTGGAAAACCACTCTCTGATGAATCTCAGCGTCTACACACACAACTTCCAAACAGCTCAGAGATCCTAAATATGAAGAAATGGCCAAAGGTTGCAAAATAAATGAGGGAAGCATACAGGGCAGAAATTAAAGCAAAAAAGTGAAAGAGACAGTAACTTGGAGAAACAGAGACCGTGGTAGGCAAACTAAGGCTTTAAGTAACTAAAATTAATGTATTCAGGTAGGTGGGAAATGTTATTTTCTCCATAAAGAAGAAAGATTAAGATGTTCTCTTTAAAAGCACATTCTGGGGCCGGGGATTTAGCTCAGCAGCATAAGTGCCTGCCTTGCAAGCACATGGTCATGAGTTTGATCTCTGATACCAAAAAAAAAAAAAAAAAAAAAAAAAAAAGCACATTCTGGAAACCAAAAGTTCTTGGGGATTGTATGTATAATAGCAGAAATTAAAACTCAATGGATGGGAAGGAATGCAAAGTTAAGGAAATCTTTCAGAAAGAAGAAGAAAATAACACAGTATGTGCTTTGGCAGTATATATATTAAGTTAGAACTATACAGAGATTAGCACGTCCCCCCATGAGAACCAGGAGTCTAAGTTAATATATCTAAAGTTAAAATGAATATATCTAAAGGTATCCATAAAATGTTCCTGTGTATTCTGATGCAATAATTCTTCTTTTTACCCAACAATTCCATTTGTGAGTACTGTATATATTCACAATAGTTCACGTGCTTGAATTCACAAAATATTCCATCTTTTAAAACACAACAGAAAAAAAAAGAAACTAATGCAAAATGGTACAGCCACTATGGGAAACATACAACAATTTCTCAAAGCAAACAAACAGTTACCCCATCCAAGCATTGCACTTCTGATTATGTACTCAAGAGAATTGAAAACAGGACATAAACAGGTTATTTGTACACTCATGTTCATAATAAGTTTATGTGCAACAACCAAAAGGTACAAGTGACCCAAATACTCAATGATGGATAATGAATAAGCAAAATCGAGTATTCACATACGCTGAAATATTATTCAGCCTTCAAAAGGAAAGAAACTCTGACATAACACTATGATGCTGATGAACCTGTAAGACATTCTTAATGTCACAAAAGACAAATGTATAAATATGAGATACATAAATTATTTAAATGGAGAGAGACAGAAAGGAGAAAATGGCTACTAAGGACTGGGGCTGGGCCTGGAGACAATGAAGATTTACTGTTTAAAGACTCAGAGTTTCAATTTGGCATGCAGAAGAGTTGAGATGAATGGCAGCTATACCTAGAAATACTCAATTCCACTTAATTAAAACTCCAAAAAACCCCACCATTTAAGCATGTAAAATAAGCGATTCAGAAGCAAGTATTTAAGGAAATAACTCAGGTAGAAGCAGTTTCCTCTGAGGATAAAGGACATCATGGGAAGCACAGCTGCTTTTCAAAGAAGCTTTGTAAAATATTTATCTCTTGAATACACACACAAGTGAAATTTTGATGTAATCAAATGACAATAACAATAAATTCAGGAGAGCTTTAAGTCGCCCTGTTTTTGTAGACAACCCATGATGGAGAGGCCAAAGAAATTCAGGTGAGTAAGAGGCTGGTTGGGGCCTTGAACCAACAGGTTTTAAACTAAGATTCAGCACTATGAACACAGCGGAGCTTACAATAGCACTTTCCTGCATACCCTAA